TGAATGACTCAGAAATTACTAACTAACCTAGGTGGTTGGAAGAATGAGAGAATCACAGATTTCAAGCCAAAAGGACCTTAGAGCATCTGATCTCTGCCCCCAACAAAGCACCATTCTAACCCAATACTTTTGTGACCAGATACTTCCCTGTGTGGAGATAGTGTTCTGCATTTACCTGAATCATTCCTATATCCCTGCTGAGTATTCTGTCCATGATATTGTTAAGTATGCATCTTTCTCTTAAATGTTGAATGATCTCATTTCATTCCAATCCAAAACCTCCAGACTAGACTACCCCTCCCAGTTAGCTTTTTGTCATCTACAAATTGAACAGTCATGTATCCTATACCTTCATCTAGGATCTTAGGTTATAGATCGAAAGCTCAAAGGGCCGTTTGAAATCATCTATTCCAATCCCCTCATTTTATAGATGAGGTACTGGGGCCCAAGAGAAGTTAAGTTGATTTGCCCAAGGTCACACAGTAAGTGGCCAAGCTAGGATTCAAACCCAGGTCCTCTTCACTCCAAATCTTGCCCTCCTTCCTCTGTATAATGCTGCTAAGTCACTGATAAAACTGTTGAAAACACAGGACAAATCCTGGAGACACAACCCTGGTAATCTCTCTTCAACATGACCTCGTGTCCTATCATTCAACTAGTTCCAATTCCACCTAACGGTTACTATCATCTAGACTTGAATCTCACCATTTTGCAAAGTATACTTTGTCTGCAGCATTTCCATGATCTAGTTCCTAGTCCAGTAACTCCACCAAAACAGGAAATTAGCTTAGTTTAAGAAGGCCTCTTCTTGAGTAAGCCATGTTGATTTTTAGTAATCACTGTTTCCCTTTTTAAATTATCAGAAGCTGTTCTTTCAAGATATCATCTAGAATTTTGCAAGGTGGTAATCATAAAAACATTCTGGTACTGGCTAAGAAAGAGTGGTGAGTCAATGGAATAGATTAGGTACACAACACACAGGAGTAAATGAACATGGTTAGTTGGAGTTTGATAAACCTAAAGATCCAAGCTTTTAGGGCAAGAACTTACTATCCGACAAAAATTGCTAGGAGAACTGGAAAACAGATCGGCAGAAAATAGGAATAGAGTAACATCTTTTTTTTTTTGTGAGTCAGTCGAAATTAAGTGACTTGCCCAGGGTCACACAGCTAGTGTCAAGTATCTGAGGCTGGATTTGAACTCAGGTCCTCCTGACCCCAAGGCCAGAGCTCTATCCACTCAGCCACCTAGCTGCCCCATAGACTAACACCTTACACCATATACCAAGATAAAGTCAAAATGATTTGGACATAACAGGTGATATCATAAACAAATTAGGGGAGCATGGAAAAATTTACCTGTCAGATCTATGGATAAGGGAAGAGTTTATGACCAAATAAGAGATAGAGAGGGTCACAGGAAGTAAAATGGGCAATTTTGATTACATGAAATCAAAAAGCATTTGCATAAACAAAACCAATGCAGCCAATATTAGAAGGAAAACAGGAAACTTGGGGGGAAATTTATAGCAAGTTTCTCTGATAAAGGCTTCATTTCTCAAATTTTGGGGAGTTGAATCAAATTTATAAAAATAAGAGCCATTCTCCAATTGATAAATGGTCGAAGGATATGAATAGGCAGTTTTCAGAAGAAGAAATCAAAGCTATCTATAGTCACATGGAAAAAAATGCTCTAAATCACTCGATTAGAAATGCAAATCAAAACAACTCTGAGGTACCATCTCAAACCAATCAAAGTGGTTGACAGAAAAGGAAAATGGCAAATGCTAGAGGGGACACGGAAAAATAGGTACACTAATGCATTGCTGGTAGAGCTGTAAACTTGTCCAATCACTCTGGAGAACAATTTGGAACTATGCCCAAAGGACTCTAAAACTGTGCCTACTTGTTGACCCAGCAATACCACTACCAAGTCTGTATCCCAAAGAGATCAAAGAAAAAGGAAAACAATCTATATATACAAAAATATTTACAGCAACTCTCTTTGTGGTGGCTAAGAATTGGAAATTGAGGGGTTGCCTGTCAATTGGGGAATGGCTAAACAAGTCATAGTATATGATTGCGATGGAATACTACCGTGCTATAAGAAATGACAAGCAGGAGGACAGTCTTAGAAAAACCTGGGAAGACTTACATGAAATGATACAAACTGAAGTGAGTAGAACCAGGAGAACATCATACATAGTAACAATAATATTGTAACAATGATCAACTGTAAAGTTGTAAAACTGTATCTAATCAATACAATTATCAATACAATTCCAAAGGACTCATGATAAAAAATGCTATCCACCTCCAGAAAGAGAACTGATGAACTCTTGAGTACAGATCAAAGCATACTCTTTTTTTCACTTACTTTATTTTTCTTGCTTTTTTTTTTGCAACATGACTAATATGGAAATGTCTTGTATAACTTCACAGGTATAATTAATATCACATTGCTTGCCTTCTCAATGGGTGGAGGAGGGGCTAGGGGGAGAGAATTTAGAACTCAAATTTTTTTAAAAAAATGAATGTTAATATAGAATTTTGCTAGGAACAGAAGTCAAGTTTGATGGATTACAGTTTGTAGGATCCACCTTCTTCTTTTTTTGAAAGTCAGGATATTTGCCCTTCTTCAGCACTGCAGCACCTCTCCTGGTCTTCCTAATATGTCAGTGATCAATAGTGGGTCAGCAATCACATCTTCCCCTTCTTTCCTTGGATAGAGTTCATCTAGGCCTGGAGGGCAGATAGATGCTGTCTCATTTATCTTGTGTCTCCATTCCCTGCAAATCAATTTTGTCCTGTCCTTTCCAATCTCAAAATCATTTTCCTTGGAAGAGAAATAAGAAGCAGAGTAAGAGTTGAGTAGTTCAGCCTTCTCATCATCACCTATTACCACTATCCAATCCCCTCTGTATAGCAGTTCTATATATTTGACCATTATTTTGCCTCCAAAAGTAATTTTTTAAAAAGCCTTTGTTTTTGAGTATTCATCAAGCTAGCCTGCTCATGTCTCCAATTCTTAAAACTCTTGTAGAATTATACTATTCTTACTTACCCTTCTATCTTTTTTCTCTTATTTTTCTATTGACAATTCCATTATTATTATTCTATTTTCTATTATTTCTATTGCTTTTACAACGACTAGATTTCCCTCTGTATCCCTCTTCTGCCCCTTCTGAGTCATCCCTTATAACAAAGAATTTTCGATGAAAAAAATAAGAAAAAAATCAGCAATATCAGCCAACAATCTGATCTGACAGCATAGGCAACATTCTAAACCAGTAGTCCCCACCCCCATCCCCCACATTTACATGAAGAGAAGGTACATTTTCTCAGCTCCTCTTAGCACCTATTTGTTTTATTGTTTTTTTTGGCCCTACTTCCTTCACTCTGCACCAGGTCACAAGCCTTCCTATGCGTCTCTGAATCCCTTATACCGGTCTTTTCTCATAACACAGTAATATACCAGTATATTCATGTACAATTTATTTAGCCATTCTCATTCCATAGCTCCTTCATTGTCTCTAATTCCTTGTTATCACAAAAATATGTAATTAACAGCTTTCTGTCTTTGACCTCCCTTGGGGTATATGTGTAGCAGTGGGATTCAAGGGGCAAAAATACGGACATATTAAGTCACTTTTTTCGTAGCATAATTCTTAACAGCTTTCCAGAATTAGAACAATGCACAGCAACCCCATATATTAGTACGTTTTCATTCCATGGCCCCTTCAATATTGACTATTTCTATCTTTTGTCATCTTTGCCAATTTGGTGCATGTGATACAAAATCTCAGATGTTTGGATTCACATTCTTATTAGTGATTTGGAACAATCTTTAATATAGTTGTTAATAATTTGAAATTCTTCTTTGAGGAACTGTTTATTGATGCCCCTTGACCACTTCTATGTTGGGGTCACACATTTCAAAAAAATATCAAGGGGTTGGGTTCCCTCCATAGCCCCATTGGTCCTTTTAGGCAGTTCCCATATTCTTCCTAATAAGAGTTAATACCATTTGTGTCTTCAGAATTTGATTCTCAAAAGCTTCCCTTCATCTGGGGGCCAATTTCTCTATACTAAGACCACTGGATCACATCCATCCCTTATCTGACCTCTTCACTATAGGGCTCCCCTGCTCAGTAAGCTCCTATGGCTTCCTAATTACCTCTAGGGTGGTATACAAACCTCCTCTGTTGGGCAATTAAAGTACTTCACATTCTGGCTTCCAGCCTCCCTTTTACACATTCTTCAGTCCAGGCAAACTGGTCTTCTTGCTGCTCTTCACATAATTCTATCTCTTATCTCTGGGCACTTTGCATGGCCTTGTAAACCCCTCTCGCTTGAGCTCAGGTCAAGATCCAGTGATGTGTAGACTTGCCTGATCCCCCCAGCTGCTAGCGCCTTTCTTCCAAAAATTACCTTGTACTCATTTTGTAAAATAACACACTTAGATAACAGAAGTGACTGGAGAATCCCTTGGACTAATAAACTGGGGCACAGTCCATGAAGTCAGCATGCAAACCCTGGTTCCATATGGACGTAAATGTGCTCTGGCACAGGGATGAAGAATTGGCAGCTTGGAAGGATGAAGCAATCCCTTACTGGTTCTCATGACTGGGAGCTGTGTCAAAGAGGACTGGAAACTGAGCCAGGAAGAATCACCCACTCAGTATAAGGAAGAGGAGAAATGTCTTCTGGTATCTTTCCACTTAACAACAGGGAGGGACACTTATGGAGGGGATACATGATTCAGATAGTGTTACAATTAGATGAACTCTATAGCCCCTTCTAAATCTAAGATTACATTGATATTATAAAATTACGTTTGATTCTTACATGCTCAGTCTTTACAGACCAATGCTGATAGAAAATTGGTTATCTGCCAAGAAAACAAGTAGAGAGGAGAGATGGGCTCAATCGAGCCTGAGTGTGAGAAACAAGGTATCCCTAACAACTTTCTGGTTATCGCAAAAGAAAAGAGTCACAGTCAAACATCTCTACTTGGGATTTATTATCTTATTCTTTAAAAAAAAAAAAAGGAAAAAAGGAACGGGGTAGAATGGAAATAACCCCAAAACACTAAACAGGAACCAAGAATCCAAGAGTTTATAGTCACCCATCCCCACCCTAAGTTCAGCCCTTCCTGAGACCCTGACCCATTCTACCCACCCACCCAAATAAAAAAGAAAAACCCCAAACCAGGAAGAGTGGTACCTGGGACAGTCACTGAGATTCCAGACACAGGGAAAGGGAAGGGTAGAGTCCGAAAAGGGCTCAAGGTGAGGATTAATGGAGAGGCGAGGCTCTGGAAGGAAAGTCTGGGCCAGAGATAGCGGGGCAAGAATAGGAGGGCAGAGAGCAGGGCACGTAACTCCAGGCTGCTGCTGCCGCCACCACAGTCCCCAGGCCCCTCTGAGGGAACATCACGGTTTATCCTACAGTCCACATTCCCAGTCCACGAGGAGCCTCATAAGCCTAACTCCAAGTCCGCCAACTCTTCTTCTAAGGCCCCCCTCCTCGCCAGTTTTTCTAACTGCTCTCTGCTGGGATGACTGATCTCCCCACTCTGGATGCGCTGCTGCAGCTCCACTATCTGACGAAGTTTCTTCTTCAGGTTCTTTATCTTCTTGGCTTTCTCAGTGGTGGAAAGTGTGTCGGGTTTGTCAGGGTTTGTGGCAGGGGCAGCTCGGGGAGCAGGGGGCACACTTGGCAGCTGTGCTGGCTCCTTCAATGACACTTTATCCAGAGTCCGGCTCAAGGTCTCTGCTGCCCCCTTTCCTTGCTGCTGCCGCCTCTTCTCCTTGCGTTTCAGGTTGCGTTTGGCAGTCTTAGAAAGGCCTGGTTCACCACTGTCTAGCCGGGGTGGGGTTGGGACCCCAGCCTCTAGGCTCAGCCCGGGAGGTAGTTCGGGTTTACTCTTGAAGAACTTTACATACTTGTTTTCATACCTGAGAGGAAGAAAAGCTGTCAACATGCCCTCAGTTCCCCTGCCTCCCAAGCCTGACTTTCTCCCCACACCAGTCTGACTTCTTTCTTGTCCCTGACCTAAGGAAACCAGCTTCCCCCACTCCCCTACCCTCAGTGTACTATAAGCTGCAGTCCTGCAGAGGGGTTATGGGGGCCCTGGGACCAGAGCTATGAAACTCTATCCAACACTCTGGCACTAATGATAACCATGCATTATGGGAACTTACTCTGACAGGTAAGATCAATAAGAACCTGCTGCTTCTTCACCCTACTGCTCTCACACCCTATCCAAGGTCTAGGTTATATTTCTTGGGAACACAAGAGAGAAATTCCTCAGCACATACATACCACCCTGCCTCTCCCAGGATAAATTACCACCACCCCCTACCCCACTAGAACAACCACATACACAGGAACTTCTTCTTGAGGCACGTAACCTTCTTTCACTTTCCGCTGCTTCCTCCAGGTCCCGTCTGGTCGCTGGGTTGAAGCAATATATTTACCTAGAACAGGATAAATCAGGTTATAAAGACAATCTCTTCTGTTTTCAAAAAGCTCCAGAAAGAGAAGTAAATCCTTGAATTTATTTAACTGTGTTAATGTTCTTTTAGGTATCATTTGTCTACTCTACTCAACTGATCTACTTTTCTATTTTTTTAACTAGTATCAAACACATGCTGGTTATCAATCAATTACTACTGGGGAAGGGACTCCTCACTTGATAAGAACTGCTTGGAAAACTGGAAAGCTGTTTAGAGGAAGACGGGTTCAGGCCATGCATGCATCTTGTACCATGTGCCACAATAATGCTCAAATGGATAAGCAATTTAAATGTAAAATGTCACATTATTTCTTTTAAATGGATAAGTGATCAGAAAAGACAAAAGACAATTTTGTTATGTAAAATTTTAAAGCTTTCAAATGAACAAAATGTAGCTAGAATAAAAAGTTGTAGAGAAAAAAACATTGCATCAAACACCTCTGATAAAATTTTAATATCCAAGATATGTAGGGAATTAACACAAATATATATAACTAAGCCATTCCCCAATAGGATAGCCCCAAAAGAAGACTTGAGCCCAAATCTTGCCTCAGACCCCTTACTAGTTGTTTGATCCTAGGTTAGGTGAGTTGCCTTCATTTCTTCATCTATGAAATAGGGGTGACAACAGCACTTAACTCACAGGGTTATTGTATGGCTCAAATGAGATAACATGTAAAGTGCTTTGCCAACCGTTCAGCCCTATATAAATGTCCATTTTTAAAAATAATGTGACATTTTACATTTAAATTGCTTACCCATTTGATCATTATTGTGGCACATGGTACAAGATGCATGCATGGCCTGAACCTGTCTTCCTCTAAACAACTTTCCAGAACAGGTCTGTAAGAAGACAGGCACACTAAGATACTGTTGGCTGAGCTAGGAACTGGTCAAATCAACAGGAAAATAGTTCCGAATTAAGCAAAAAAAAAAAAAGGTACCAAACTCATCATACTCTAATACTAAATTATTTATGACCTAGCAATTCCATTACTGGGCATATATCTTAATGAAATCAATGACTCTGACAAAGAAACATCCTAACTACAACAAAATAGTCATAACCACACTTTTTGTAGTAAAAACAACCTAGAAACAAAATGAGGAACAAATGAACAAGCTGTGATAAATGAATGTAATAAAATATTATTGTACAGTAAAAATAATAAATATGAAGAATCCAGGGACCCATGGAAAAGAGTTGTATTGATTTAAGCAGAGCAAGGAAAGAAGAACCTGTAGAATACACACAATGACTACAATAATATAAATGAAAACAATCCTAAAAGCCATCAGAAATCAGAGTAAATGCAATAACTAGTGTTGGTTCCAAATGACTGTGAGCAGGGAATGTCTTTTACCTTTCTCTATCCTCAGGCTTTAGTACAGTGTCTGGTACTTAGTAGGCCCTCAAGAAATGCTTGTGGAATGATAGACTGAAGACCTAAAATACAGTTTATTCTCCTCTCCATAGAGAGGGAGTAAACTCTGGATGCAGAATACTGCATGCTTTGTTAGGGGTCAGTTGCTAAATCACTTGATTTTGCCTAACCATTTCTTTGCTACAAGAATGAGAAATTTATTGTATAATAACTATGTTTTTTAAATAAGATAAATAAGACTTTTTTTAAAGGGGAAAGAATGAAATTCTGTCAATTCCCTTCAGTTGCCTAAATGCAAACATCAGGACATCATTTCTCATGTCTCACATCATTCTACATGTATTTGGGTGGCAAACACTACGAACAAAGTAAAATATACTGTCCTTTTTTCTTTAAAAGCTTATAATTTACTTGGAAGAGACAAGACATACATTGTCACTCCAAAAAATACCCTCTTTATCTGAGCATTACTTTTTCTTATACATGTGTAAATGAATGACATGATATGTATGTATCATGTATACATATCCTCAAGGAGTTGTGGCATTCAGTCTAGTAGGAGATAAGGCACAAATACAAATAACTACAACACAAAACAGACAGTGACAAGTATTCAAGAGATGTATAAAAATGCTGTGAGAGTTCAGAGGGAGAAAATAAACCTGCAGCTGCTAATCAGGGAAGACTTCAGGGAAAAATTATCATGTAAGCTGGGATTTGAACAACAAGTTAAACCATAAAAGGTAGAGATGAAGGAGTATCTGGTCAAAGGCAAAGGTATGGAGATAGGAAAGTATGGTGCATCCTCAGATGATGTTGAGAAGTCCTATTTGGCTGAAGTTTAGCTCTGTGACAGGGTATGTATAAGGTAGGAAAGGTCCTAGGGTCAGCTCATGGAAGATCTTCAAATGACTGAGGCACTGGCAAATCACTGGTTTTGAACAGAGGAGTACCACAGTAAAAGCTGTGGTTTATTAATGATAGCTAACATTTATATAGGGCTGAATGGCCAGCAAAGCACTTTACATATTATCTCATTTGAGCCATACAATAACCCTATGAGTTAAATGCTACTGTCACCCCTATTTCATAGATGAGGAAACCAAGGCAACTCACCTAGCCTAGAATCAAACAGCTAGTAAGGGTCTAAGGCAAGATTTGGGCTCAAGTCTTCTTGACTCCAAGTTCAACATTTTATCTCTAGCCACTCTGCCACCTAAAGTGTTTCACATCAGTGGCCTCTAAACCTTCCTTGGGTACTCCATCAATAGAAATGTTTAAGCATGTACCCCCAACATGTTTGCTTATTTATAAATTATATGCATACTCCTGAGTAGGGAGATGGAAATTGAGGCACTAAAGGTTTTGAACCTGAATGACTGGAAAGATAGGGGCACCCTTAATAGGAAGAAGAAAGTTGTGAAGAGGGGTGGGTGGGGGGGGGAAAAGATCATGTAATACAATCTGGGATCTGTTGCAACCCATCCATGCCTGCTCATCCTTTGCAACTCACTCTGATCTACCCAAATGAAAAGGGGATAGGTAGGATTCTTACCAGTCACTGCCCTAAAGCCTGGAGCCCACTCTCTGCAGGGCACCTGCCATAGCCTCTAGGTAATTTAGGTGGATGGGGAGAAGTAGCCTAGGGATGGGAGGCAGAATTTTTCCAAAGGCAGTAGCTCAGCTGTTATTATGAGTGACTGGTTCTAGATTATGTCTATCACTACCCTGAAGGGCCAGGTCCTGACAGTAAGGGTAGGGAAGAGTATGTTAGAAGCTTGCATAAACCAGGAAAAGGGGTGTGTGTGTGTGTGTGTGTGTGTGTGTGTGTGTGTGTGTGTGTGTGAGAGAGAGAGAGAGAGAGAGAGAGAGAGAGAAATGAGGGAGAAAGGTAGGTATGACTGTATTGAAGAGAAACCTCATGCCAAGTGATTGCTGGGAGGGTAAGATAAGACCCAAATCCCCACCCCTGGATTGGCTAATCATACACTCCTTGGGATCAGGCCACAGTAATCCTCACTTTTGTGACTATAAGTAAACAGGACAGATTAGAAGCAATAAAAACTAAAGGTGTGGAGAGCAATTAGGAGGCTATCTTAATAGTGCAGCTGAGAGCAAATGAGAACTTGGGCACGGTGGCAGCAATAGGAATGGAAAGAAGGGGCTGAAAGTGATGGATTCTGGTAGAGGTAGAATGGAGAAGATTTTGCAACTGATTAGATATGGGGGAGGGGAGTAAAAGAGAGTGAGGAGTCAAGGATGATGAGGAGATTTTGAGCTTGGGTGACTGGAAAACAGTAGATAGGCCAGGACCTAGGTCTTCAAGTATTTGAAGGGTCATCATGTGGATTTAGATTTATTCTGCTTGATTTCCCAAAGGAGAGATTAGGAGAAATGGATAAAACTGCAAACAGGTGGGGAGGGATATCTCAGTTTAAGGAGGAAAAAAGATATAACAATTAGAACTCTCCAAAACTGAAAAGAGCAGCCTCAAGAGACATTAGATTAACGTTGGAATCAGAGAAAAGATGAAAAACACTTGCCCCCTCTCAGTAGAGAAAGGGGGCACCATGGGTATAGAATGTTACCAGTGAAGTCAGATACAGTTGCTATGTTGGTCAGTTTTTAACTGCTTTCCTTGTTACAAAAAAGCAGGTTTGACATGCTACCATAGGGTAGACATGTATAGGAAAATGACTATGCTGTAAAAAAAAAAAGGTATCAATAAAACTGTAATAAATACATACAGAAGGAATAAGATCTCCCTCAGGAGAGATCTTCAAGTAGAGGTTAGACAGGATTAATTGTGGTGACAGTATGGAGGTCACTCATGTTTAATATGGACTGGACCTCTGAGGCCTTCCCCTTCCTACTCAGAGATTATGAGGACTACTAAAAAGATGATTACTTCAAATCTGAATATGTCAAGTTTGAGACGTCTGCAAGACATTTAGGTAAAGTACAGCAACCAGTCTGGAGCCTAGGAGTAAGTTTAGGGATAAAGCTGTAGATTTGCATAGAAGTAGTATCAGAAACCACAGGGCCAAATGAGATTACCCAGGAAATGGGTATAGTAAGAGAAGAAAAGACACTGGAGCTTTGGACAACATTAGTTTAAAGTCAATCCAACAAGCATTCACTATGAACCTGTTGTAAATCAATGCACTGTGCTAGGCATAGAAGATACACAAAGTCAAAGACTGTCCCTGCCCTCAAGCAACTTAGGCTTTGGTCTTCGGATCACAGGATCCCAGAACTACAGCTGGAAGGGACCTCAGAAGCTGTCTATTTTTCTTGAGTTGAACTCCTAATTTTAGAGATGAGAAAAATGAGACACAAAGATTAAGTAACTTGACACTGGGCGAAGGGAGTAAATGGGCAGGATTTTAATCCAAGTCCTCTGTCTCAATGTTCTTTTTCAATGTCTTAGACTGCTTCCCACCCATTCCCCTGGGAGTGTGGGGGAAAACAACACAAACACAGATAAGTAAATACAAAGTAAATTCAAAGTTATTTGCAGGGGAAGCATCAACAACTGAGGGAATCAGGAACTTGAGCCTTGTAGGGAGTTAGATGT